GTGTGGGCACCGAGTGAAACCGCCCCGTACTTGATGGCTCCCGTAGCGCTTGCCCTAGCTTTCGGGATCACCTGAGAAAAATATTTGACATTGAATCAAAGGAAGGCTTTTTTTCTATAAGAATTTTTTTTACGAAAAGACAACGTTAAACTCTGCTTTACCCTTTTTTTTTTCCTCATAAGAGATCCTGGAAGACTCCAGGGGAAACGTGCCGCCTTGAAGCCTGCGCGGCCAGTGCCAGATACGGGAAATGTTCCGGGTAGCTCACAGAACTCTCACCCATTTCTTAACCGTGGCCCGTGATGTTTGCTTAACGCCCTTCACAGCACGGCACGGATCCTGCTGCTTGTAGCGTGGAGAAGGACTGCTGATAGGCTTTATCTTGGGGATAAGAACTGTCCAAAACAGAGGGGTTTGTGGCGGGCCCAAGGCTGCAGGGCAGTCGGTCGCAGTATCGCTGTAGGAATGCAAGGGCTTCCCGTCGATCAGGTCTCTGTCCAGACACAAATTGCACTTTTACCTCTAGTTTTAAAGAACAAGTGTAGCTATTTTAGCAAACTCCTCAAACGAATTGGTGCACAGGGCTGTTGGTCTTTACCGACATCGGCTTGGACAGAACTTGCTATGGAGAACGCTCCTTGTCAAGATTTCTGTAAAATGCAGCACACGTTAGATACAAATAGAAGTGTTATCACTTCACTTTCCCTATGACCTTCCTGACGGCATGCCAGTGTTGGGCAGAAACCTTTTTCAATACCATGCAAGATACTAGGAAACCTTGTCCTGGACTTTGCAATACCGTGTTCATTCACCATGTCACGTGTTTGACACCCCCCAGCTTTTCCTTTCCAAATGCAACTCTTTCTGCCTCCTGTTACGTGTGGCAATTCATGAAGCAGTGTTGCCACATCCGAGTTGTAGCCTCCGTGGTTCTTTTTTCCTTTTGCCTTTTAGAGTCTTCCATAAAACTCACAAAAAGACCACATGTGCACACAGGAGGCAGAGAAGGGCTGAACGAAGTCTTGCTGCAGACCTGAAGTGCCTGACTCTTCCCATAACCTTCTCTCTCTGTGTAAATCGGAAATCCAGTGTTCAGTGTGACTGAAATGAGCCCTGTGCTTAACTGCCCGTGTCTCTTGGTTTAGGCTGTTGTCTTGTGTGCTTATCTGGAGACGGGAGGCATTGATGTCAGGGATCGATCTGTGATTGAGCTGGGAGCTGGAACTGGATTGCTGGGAATAGTGGCCACGTTATTAGGTAAGGGTTTTTTTTTTGTTTGTTTAAAGCAATTTACAACTATAGTAAAACTGGCACGTTTACATCTACATGCCTGGTATAGAAGTTAACACCAAAGCTACATATGTGAACTGTGATGTTTCCTGTCTGAGTCATCTTCCTTTCTTGTTAGACTTCAGAGCCTGCTGCGTTATTTGTTGTAGCGATGGTGCCACTGCAGTTTACTTTATGGTGGGACCCTGCTAAGGCTGATGCCTGTTACTATGGTACTCAGCTCTGCAGCATTAAGTTCTGCAGCTATTCTCCCCCAAGGGAGTGAGGGCCGTGCTTGCAGTCTTCCACTTGTCCTCGTATGCAGCACAGATAAATCTACAGACAGAAGCCACTCTCTGAGCTTGCGTAAGCCTTGTTAGCCTCTCTTGCAGACAGGGAAACCAAGGTCTGGAGAAATGAAGTGATTTGCCTGTGATCTGTTTGTGGCTGAGGCAGGGACTGGGTACTATGTTAGATTTGCGCTAACTGTCCCAGGTTAACTTTGTAATTCAAAGCTCTAGTGGCTGTGGAAGGTGCCTATTGAAATAATAAAACCAGAGCAGTTTGACAAAATACAATCATGCCATGCAAAATCACGTAGGCATAACTTCTGTCTGACCTGTGAAAGAGGCTCTCTAGCTGCCTCTCTCCTCCTGAACGAATACAGAATTGGAGCAGGTTAATTGTAATAATCCCTGTAACTTATGCTGTTGTCACCTATGGAAAGGCAGAAAGTAACTTCTCTACTTTTATGCACTAAGAAAAAGCTCCAGAAAACACTTTTTGTCCCTTACCCAACTTAATCTTCGTGTGGGGTACTTTATATTCTTAAGTGACAGATGAAGGGGATGTATGGAGATAGTGGGCTTTTTGCTTGTTGTGTTCTTTTGTTTGTTTGTTTTTAATCGGGCAGCTCAGGGGAGTTGTTAATGTTTAACAGGAATTAAGGAGCCTGCTTGACTTAAAGCACTGTATTCCAAATACTATATTTATGGACATCGACTATATGTCTGAGAGATATACTCCTGTACCGCTTAGGTGCTCGTGTTACCATCACAGACAGGGCGGCAGCACTGGAGTTCCTGGAGTCAAACGTACAGGCTAACTTACCTTCTGAACTACGTCCGAGAGCTGTGGTGAAGGAACTGACTTGGGGAAGAGACCTGGGTAACTTCCCTCCAGGAGCATTTGACTTCATCCTGGGTGCAGACATCGTTTATCTGGAAGAAACTTTTGCAGAACTGCTTCAGACGCTGGAGCACCTGTGCTCAGAGCAAACTGTGATTCTTCTTTCCTGTCGTATCCGCTATGAGCGGGATCACAAATTCCTGAAGATGCTGAGAGGCCGTTTCTCTGTATATGAGGTCCACTATGATTCCAGTAAGGATGTTCATATCTACAAAGCTCAGAGGGGTAGTCGCAAGGATGACTTTTGACTCTATGCTTTGTTAGTAAACCACTGATGCTGTTCAATCCTCCCCTTGTTTCTACTCAATACACTTGTTCGTAAGCATATAATTGCAGTTGTGTTATTTCACTGGCTTCGTGTTCTGATGGTCTTGCCTGATCACTTGGTCTGATACAGCAAGGATTGTACTTCTGTTCTGCATATTTAACCTCTGCTTCATTTCTCAGTAGAGTTGTATAGGGTCTTCCACTGACTTTTTACCAAATGTAATTTTTGAAACTGATTTAAGTTGCAGAAATCTCCAGGCATCAAAAATGTCATCAAAAGATCTGTTGTTTAAAATTAAATCACACTTTATTTCTGTGGAAAACTTAGAAATAGATTACAGTGGGGGTTTTTTTCCCCTTATCACTTCCTTAACTCTAGAAAAGTAAAAGTGGATGAAATGTAAGCTAAGACTCCGGCTCTAAGTGCTTGAACTCTTCAGGCCTTCTGCGTCTTACAAGTTGTGGTAAAAGAAGCACTTAAAGGGCAAAACCAACAAAGGCAGCTGCTATGAAGTTGTATTGCTGTCACTGCTGCACTGAAGAGGCATAGGGAAACAAAGAACAAGATTTGTGAAGGGGGTGGGCTGGGAATCAATATTGCAGAGTAAGCCATCTTAGAAATCAGTGGTGTTTTTACCTGACGTGCAAGCGTGGAGGCTATGCCTGCAGTACCGAAGCAGTCGTGGTTCTTGGGTTGTCCCTAACAAGGTAACTTTCCCTTGCACAGATCAAGGCTCCTTGGAGCAGATACACATGCACATGTGCCTGCAGGGAAAGTGAAACAAGGAGACTCACACTGTTCTTTAAATATCAAATCAGTCCTTGACTCTCAAAGTACCGCTAAATAATGTTATACTTTCTGCCTTTGTTTGTGATTCACTGTCTCTGAGAGCTGTTATTCAGGAGAGGAGGGTGCTGCTGTAAAGTCTTTGTAGCTGGGGGAGTACTTATTCTTGTATTACTTGGGACCTTGGGGCAGTGTCTAGATTTCGGCGTGCTTTCTGTGCAGTGGTAGTTAGACGCTGTTCTAAGTAACTGATTTTTTTACCTTAAGCTTGTAAAAGATCCTATGTGAAAAATGCTGCAGCCTGGAATCCGGCTCACACCAGCAGCAGACTTCCTTCTCTTTCTAGTCGTGGAAGAATGAAACTGGTGAAAACAAAGGCCTAATAGAAGACAGCCACACTTCTAAATGCAGGAATTGCTATAGTACTTTTTTTTTGGTGGATGCGGAACTTTTTTTTCTTTAAACTTAAGTTACAAAGCCCCAGGTCAGGTTCAGGCTTTAAGCATGTTCATGTCTTTCGCACTAGCAACAGCAAACACCAGCAGCTGCTTCAGGCCATGGGCATTAGGAGCTTTATCACTTCTGCTTCCATCAAACTTCCTAACTGGAAAAGATGCAGAGGGTCTGTGGTCCAGAAGTGATGTGCAGACTGTAATCTGGAAATGACACATTTATCATCACAGCTCCCGTGAATGAGGCCCGAAGGTCTTGTGCTTCATCCCTGACGTGTCTCTTGGGTGTTTTCAGCTAAGTTCCTTGCCTGGCTCTGGACTTGGCCTGACAGTTGCTGCTCTAAAACACTTGCTTACAACAGTATCCTCAGAAGCCACATGGTGTCACTAAAACAGTACTTACGCAGCTGGCTGGGACTCTGCAGTCTGAAAGTAGAGTTGAAGTCCCTTTGAGGGAAGGAAAACAGCACCTTTAATTAAAACCAGAACATGATATGAGCTTTAATGTGCCAGACATGGCTTCTTCTGTTGCTCAACTGGGTGAGCAACGGTTGAAAAAATTACAAGCTCTCCCCACTCTCTCTCTGGCTCTAATTTTCAGAGTGTGGCTGTAAGTTCTCACCACTCCCTTCCTTTTCCTCTCCACTGGTGTTTCCTTGTCTCCGAGCTCATCTGTGGTCACTGTATGTTAGGCTCTCCCCCCGGGCTGGAGCTGGCAGAAAGCAGCGTGCTGGTGCCCGGGCTTATGAGTGCACGTGACTTGGTGCGTGGGGAGAGCCTGCTACCTGGCTGTGCTTGGCCCTCGCAAGAGGCTGCATCTTGCAGTACTGAGAGCCTTAGCAGCTTGCGTTGTTGCCATAGTAGGAACATGCTTAAAAAGCCCACTTTAAATAGCACAGAGTAAAGCCCAGTGTAGTACAGAATAAAGCCTACACACTTTTAAGAAGGGGGCTTTGCTCCAGGCCTTGCTTCAACGATAGGAAAAGTTTTGTACTTTTAAAACAAATCAGTGTAATTGCATCTTTCTAATTGTTTAGCAGCTTTCGGTGTCTTGTTTTCCCATTGCTGCTGTTACAGCCCATAGCCTTCCTGTGAGAGCAGGCACGTGCTGGAGGAGACCAGCCTTGGCTTCTTTTGCTGTGTTGCTGTTGCACAGCAGCTGTATGCAAACCTGAGGGAGTATGTTTGAAGGCTGAAGCAATGTTACTGCCCATAAGTAAATACTTGCAGAGAAAAGCATGAGATGACACTGGCAGCTCAGCTGAGTGCCTTGCCCCTGACCTGCAGAGCTGAGCTCTTGGTGGCCCCTCCCCAGCTCAGCAAGTGGCACCCCCTCAAGGGGACACCTTCTCCTCTGATTGCTACTGGGGTGTGGGCAACTCTTTAGATTCAGGAGACCAGACCCAGGAATATTGCAGTTAGGCCTCCACAAGCAGCACATTAGTTCTCATTGCTTTTTAAGCTACAGTGTTTAGGGGCAGGCACCAACTGTGAGAACGTAGCTCAGCAGCCCCTTCCCGCTGGGCAGTGCTAACACCCACCTGCACTAGGCACTGAGCAGTGCCTTCTGTTGTCCCAGGTTGCGCTTCGCAGCTTTTTTATATTCCCATCACACTTAGCTTCAGGGAGATGTCAGGAGTGAACCACGCCAGACATGCAGGACAGAAGTAGCAGAGGCGTAATTGCCCGGTGAGTGAGCACACAGCAGCCCTCCGCGATGCCACCTGCAAACTTTGGTGTCCCGACTGATCGGTCCCAGGTGAGCTTCTGCTCTAGTATGAGATGATGCACAGTAATGCTTCAGCGGCTGTTTGGCAATTACACTAACACCCTGCCCAAGCACTTTGTCACCTTCTCCATCCCAGCACTAGAGAAGTCAGCGTGATTCTCCTTTGGGTGGTTCCCTTGCATTGGCCCTGTTTTGTAACAGATGAGGTGAACTCATCTGTGGGATGTGTTTGATCATGGGTCCCTGAGTAGTGGGGCAATGCACAAATAGTCTCTTGAAAAATAAAATACTCACACTAGGGAGAGGATCCAAGTCACAGGGAAGAAACCAGGTAAGATGTGAACATACTGTAAGATTGTGAAACCATCCCTGAAACATGCCATTCTGCAAGGGAACAAACTTTTCTAAAATGTCATTGCAACTAAAGTCATGTTTGATTAATATTAAGACACGGAGTATGAAATTCAACTCTGTATCTTATGGATGAAGAGCTTCAAGGTGCAGCAGTGTCAAAAGCATCGAGTTTACCAGCTGACCTACTGACTGCACAGGGATCTGCGTTACCAGATTCTTTTCAGTGCAAAATTCAAGCCAAACTGCATTTTTACCTCATGGACTAACCCCTGTTTGGGATTCTCCCTCGTTACTGAGATGCAGATTTTTCTGAGCAAGTACGTGAATGGCATTATGAAAACGCTCAGTTGTGAAAACCAGGAAATCCCAGCCATAATGAGCTGACCTTACTGCTTCCCCTTGATTTCACTGGAGGTGTGTTTACCTCAGTGCTGAATTTGTTCTTCTGGCTTTCATCCCAGTGTTTGGATCCAGATTACATAATTGGGTTGCGATCCTTGCAGTGTTTGCTGCCTTCTGTTCTGCTCTGTTATTAACATCAGTAGTACACGGTTTACGGGAATGCTTAAAAGTGGGAAAACCAGCATATTTAGACTGCGGAAGGGAAAAGCCTTTCACACATTATTAAACAGCAGAACTAACTGCCACCAGAACGCATACTGGAAAGCAGGTTTAAAAATACCAGAAGTGGAAAATAAAACTTTGTTTTTCAGGACTTAACCTCTCACTAATCTAATTCATTTTAATTAAGATTAAAAAAGCCTTCCCTTTGGGGAAAATATCTCATGAATACTTACAGCAGGCCACAGATCATGGGAGGACGCCATAGTCTGCTTAAAATATGCCTTTTCCCATATTTCTATCTAGCTACCATTTGCCACTAAATTAGTGTAAATGGAACATCCTGCTCAAAAAAGAGACTTTGTAGAGTTTTTTAAAGCATGTTTATGTGACTGCACATAAATGTTTGTGTAAAAAGGGAGTTATGACAGTTTATACCACAAAGGTTACAGTAAGAAAAAGCACTTCTTTATGACAATAATTCACAAATTCACAAGAATCACTTTAATATACAAAGCAATTACTACCATTCTGAAACACAAAGCAGCTAATATGTACATAGTGTTAATAAAATGCATTATAACCCAGTACAATTTTTTTTAAAACACAGATAAAGCACAAAAAAAAAGAAGTAAAAAAAAAAAAAACACAACAGGGATGTTTCCAGATTTTTGGGGAAATGTAAATAAGAACTTATTTTCCCCCAATAATGGATTTTCATTTAGTCTTTTAACTTCCACAAGTATGTGGGAGTCAAGCTCAAATACCCTGTTCTGTGCTGACATGGTTTGGATAAAGAATCAGAAATGCAGATGAGGTGAACTTACTCTTTCCAGCTTACATTACAAAGGGAGAATAATAACCCTCGCTCTGGAAGCTTCCCTGAAAAACATTGTTCCAAAACTATTTCAAATTATAAATCCAGAGTATAAACAACTCATTTTTGAAGTGAACAACCAATCTGTGGACAAGTCTGTGGAGGGGTTGGCTGCCGACTAGCACCTCTTCTTGCCCTGTTCCCCATCCCATCCCCGGAAGTCCATACAAGCAGCACAGTTTCAAATCTCACACAAACTCGAAGTTCTAGAACTTTTTAAAATTAATGTTTTAATATAAATAAATGTCATTACACACGCAAAAAATGGAGTGGCACCTGGATAAAACACAACTCGTGGAGAGCATCCGAACATCCTTAGTTCTTAAGAGTGGCCATTTCCAGATAACTAACTGGCTCAAGGCCTGCCTTCCCCCTGCTCTCTCTCAGCTATCCCCTAATTTAGAGAAAAACATAGCTGAGGCTGAGACCGAGCGAACCGACTGCTCCCAAGTCGTGAGTACAGTAAGTGGTCAGCTTATGAAGGGAGCCAACTGTGGATCATTACAGCCCGTCCTGGCCCCTTCCCTGCCAGCACACAGCTCCTGAGGACAGCTGACACTTCTCCTGCACACAGCTCCTGAGGACAGCTGACTTCTCCTGCACACAGCTCCTGAGGACAGCTGACTTCTGCTGCCTCTCGATGGTGGAAGCCAGACCTGAACTCACCAGTTACGCAGCAACTCACAAACTGCACCTGCAGTACCAGAACGCAGACGGGTCACCGTCTTCAATTTGTGCTACGCAAACTAGCCCAAGCAAGTCTCTTCGTGGGCCAGAGCTTAAATACAAAAAACGCATTCGAAGGCAAAACGCTTGAAATGCGAGCCCGCTTTACCAACTGGATCTGGTCCCTTTTCTCCAAAGATGTACAGATTTAAGCCATATCCATCCACAGACCTGAACCTGTCACAAGCACACAGTAGGTAGGATTTCAGCACCCTGTTTCTCTTCATCAGTCTGGCTCCTCCCAGACCAACTGAGCTTCATGACACATTCAGGTTTCTGCAAAATCAGTGTCTTTTACAGCTAGCAAATTCAAAAGTGCAGGGAAACGAGTTCCCAGGCACAGTACAGAGAACCATCAATGTACTGTATGCTTTTAAAACCTGCTCACAGTGACAGATTTCAGGGTTACAGCTAAATTATCATTGTTCCTGCAAAAGAAAGGTGGTTGTGCTTTTTTTAATCTTTTCAAGCAGGGTGACACGTTGGCAATGTACCTTTACTTCCTGGTGTCAAAGAATTGGAAAGCCTCTTGATTTATTTTCTTGGAATGCAGCTTGTAAAATTTGCAGCCAAATCTCAAATTAAGAAAAGGGGAATAAAGTGACTGAAAAATAATTTACCTTTCCTTCCAAATTAACCTCCCTTTCCCACTTGGGATCACTGAACTAGTTCTATTCTAAAAATAATTTCACATCCATCCTGTACATGCTGCTCTGAGACACCACACATTTAATTCTTTCCAGGCTTCAGTACTGCCAGTTCAGATCTGCTGCCATTTTGAAGTAATGCCTGCTGGACGCCAGGTGCTAATCAGCAAGTTAAATTTGCGGGGGAGTCAACTGCTGTGGGGAGAGGAGTGAATTGTGCGCAGGCAGCAGGATTACAACAATTGTGCCAGGGAGCTTCTCAAGCAAACCCAATTGCTCTTTTTTTTTTTGTTGTTCTGTGTTTTTTTTTTTTAAAAGTGCACATTTTAATTAAACATTTACAAAGAATATAGTGTAACAAAAATAAATACATGACCTTTTGGTTAGATCATTGGCAAATGTTACATCACTAACCAGCTTCATGGTGAAAAAATGACAATAAAAACAGGGTCCTAGAAAACCAATTAAAACCTCTATGAATTGTCATAGATTTGCAACCACTGATAATGAACTTGCTTTGATGGGGAGACTTGTCTTTACTTTAACTCACAAAAAGCACTGTCTGTCTGTCATAAATTAAAAAAAAATAAAATAAAAAAGCAGAGGCCAGTTTTCATTAACCTATGACTACTTGCAGCTGCAGTCTACTGGAAGCCCAGATTTAAAAAAAACCTGTAGTACAAATTTAGATCAGAAACTATCAGGGCTGTTTTTCCTTATTAAAACTAACTTCTTTTTTCCTGAGCCTCTTAATGATTCCAAACACCCCACCAATTTTCTGATCAACTTACAAGTACCAGAGAAGACAGTTGTCTGCAACGCAAACGCCAACTACAGAAGAGCCAGAACCTACAGGTGTCTGTACAGTCCTGACGAGCACGACAGGCTAAAATTGTGCTTTCCGATACAAGCAATGGTGCTGGCAACTACCTGACTGGTGAAATCGCTGCTTAAAGAAAAATGCATCGCCACTACCCCAGGAGGAAAACAGGAGTCTTACCAGTGGTTCCTTTAGAAAATAACACCTTAACAACCTTTTCAATTGTTTTGCCTTTGATATATAGCTGCCAAAGAGAAAAAGCACAAAAGTGAATTATTCTGGGGGATGGTGGTTGTTGTAAAACAACTGTTTATGTAATTTCAAAAATCTCCATCAATAAAAAACAAAAACAAACCTTACAAAAGCCATGAAAGATGAAATAAATTCTTGAAAATGGATAACTGAGAAACAGCACAAAACAAATCAGTAATAAGCGCTAGAATAATGCAGCCCAGAACTACTGGGGCGGGGGGAAGCTTTCACACATGCGCACACATCCACACACACCCAGACACACCCAGAAAAGTAAAAATTTCTTCTGACCTCCATATACTATAATACTCAGCATTCCTGACTTAAAAGCTCTCAGAGCTGTAGATTATATACTGTGTGTATATATATATATGTACATATATTATACATATGTATTTTCCAAGAATATCTAAATTAAAAGAGCACCTCTGACAATATCTTAACTGCCTGATCGGTGCTGTTGTTTTGCAAAATAATGACATTACAAAAATTATATTTCAAATCAATTCTTGTTTATTATGAACATAATGGATCTAGCCCTTTCTAACCCTCTCTTCAGGTAAAACAGGCTATCAGTTCTTGAAAACTCACAACCGTGAGATATAAAACTAACCCTCCCTCCCCCCTGCCAGCATAATTTCCGTCCTACTTCCAAATGGCCTTAGTTTATAGAAGCTGATTACCCCAACCTCACTACTTGGTAAATAACATATGAATGGATTCCTGTGTCATATTCTTTCCCTTTCTGGGTCAATATGAATAGTAAAGCATGTATGGGTAACCCTAACCAGCCCTGTCTGGTCTAACACATTTTTTATTATTGTCATTTAAAATTTCCATTAAAGAAAAATTCAAGTCCCTAAATCCTCAGTGCAGCATAAATAAAAATAAAGACTCTTGCAGATCCCTAGGTACTTCAAAATAACATTCCTTTTCCTTAGTGAAACGTTAGTTGCTAATGAGGTCTAGACTAATAACTCCACAGACTACTCGCAGACCACGCGCAGACAAACCGGTAACACAGTTCTCCTCTCACTGCCACACAAATTTGCACCAACCCTGTATCAGAAGAACCCCGTCCTGGTACCGGTTTAGGCTCCCTGGTCCATTCAGCTCCCAGGCTTTGTGCCGAGTGACTATCAGCAAGCGCTAGACAGTGCTCCTTACCCACGAGGAACAGCTCTCAGATCACGGCTAGCCTCATTCAGGTTCACTGCAAAAACTCAAGTTCTTGCAAACAGATGGTTCTACAAAAGAAACAGCCTTAAGGTAGGCATGTACAGCCTTCTCTGTGTTTCTCAAAGTTGGAGGAACCATTCCGTATAACTGTGTAAATTAGGCCATCATGAACTTCATGTTTTACAGGAATGACTCCTGCGTTACCAACATTTCTACTTCAGCACTAGTTCTGAAAAACTGGTAACCGTTGTATGTATTTGTATTCTCTGATTTCAAGAATCAGACAATTTTTATGAAAGCATTGCTGAGAATTTAGGGTCGTCTTTAAATTTGCACTGCTAAACTAATAAATTCATCTTCCATTAAATAAAAACATGAAAATCAATTCTCTATGGCAGATAAAAATAGACCATTTATAAACCCCCTCAAAACTTGTGAAAATGAATTCTTTCATAATTCTGATACTTATGTTCTCTTCTTGAAATACAAACATAATTTGAAATTATTGATAACTCTAGATTTAACAATAACGCTACAAGTTTAACCCTGCTCCTTTTAAAGTCTCTTGGAAACTGAATGCCCTCTCAAATGAGAAAACTAGAACTTTTAATACTGCTTAGCTGTTTGAGACTCAAGTGCCCAGGGTCTTCCAAATGTTCTTCTTATAACGTCACACTGATTGTATAACCTTTTAGAAGCTCGTGTTTGAAATTTATCTTAAAAACAGATAGAGTGAATGGGAAAAAAATATTAGCTAATACTTCGCTAGGCAAGGCATTAGTACAGACCGAAGTCTTATTCATATGTCTCTATACACAAAAGTAAACTTATTCCATCAAATGACCCAAGTTAACGTATCAAGAGACTGGCTTCAGAGGGCCAGTAAACAAACTGCACATGATTTGTTTTGACACATTCTTTTTGATGACTTCTTGACATTCTTTTTTGGTTCTTTTTGAGCATGATTCTTTTTAAGTCCTAATGCTTTGTACAGAGTTGTTTTTAAACACGAACTACCTTTTTAACAACGTAAATATGGGAAAGATCACATTTCCTCAGTGCACACAAAAAAGTGGTCTTGCAAACGTCTGAGGTACATGAGTAATTTTACTTACAGGAATAAATTACTTGGTAAATCTGACCCTTTACATGAAAAAACCCTCCGAATAAATTAAGAATTTAGCTAGCCCGGCCAGGTTCAAAAAATTAATATTGTCCCTTGCGAAGCAGAAGTTAGAATATTTGTGTTTGAAGTCTTCTTCGATATTTGAGGTTGTCCTGGTAGTTGTCATACTGCGATTTAATTTATGCCTCAAAGTTTGAAAAAGAATCTAGCAAACCAGGCTGATGTTTCCATTGAGTACAGTAATTTCCATTACATAAGATAGTGGTAGGGAAATAGAAACAACCTCATTGCTTGAGAGGACTTGGGACACAGACTATACTGTCATCAGGGAGTATGTACGTGGAGTTGGCCATGCTTCAACTGCTTAGTTGTTCTGCATACAAATAGGCAGTGCTTTCATGTGTTACCCTTGCTTACTACGTGACTGTTTTCTAAACATCACTATTGTACTTTTTTTATTCTGAATTCCTTTCCCATCCAAATATCATTTCCCAAACAATATCCTATGAAGCTGGTTTTGCTTTTTGTGCATTCAGAATGCTGAACACACTTGCACGCATAAGCTTCGAGAAGCAACAACTGACCAGTGAAGCTTATTTCAATGCATTTGTTTCTGAAGTATGGAGAAGTTTTTACTAGTCCAGGAGGGCTTAACACAGATTACAAATCAAAACCCCTCCTGGGCTAGTTTGAAAAAGGTATGTTATCTCCACACCAAGAACATGTCTGTGAAGCGCCTTTCATTTGGCATTCCGCTTAGCCGTGTATTTTTATAGTTCATAATGAATATGTGAAACCAATTTGGCAACCATTGCTTCTTCATTGCACCATGCATGCTCCACGTATGTGGCCCACAGTTCTCTGGACCAAGAGGCTGGGGTGGTTCTGTCTCTAAGGCAATGGAAAGAGCTCAGCACAAATTCTTGAAATCATTACAAAAGGACCCTCCCCACAGTAACTTCCCAAATGACCACTGTTACTCCTTGAAGAGGATGGGGAGACGAGAAAGAAGCCTGTTCTTCTTCTTCACGCTGAGATTGATGATGAAAATAATCTTGTAGGGGGAGAAGAGGAGGCAAGTACTTGAACATTCACAGTTTGATGCAAAGCACAGATGAATTATATTCTGTAGTTGCTTCAGGCAGTTTTGCGCATAGAAAAAAAGAAATGTTTAGAAAATAAAAAGTTTACTTTGTCTTTCTGGGTATAGCCAGAACCAGTCTCTATCCCACCTGGACAAGTGAAAATGGGAATCCAAAATTAATCTGATTTGTGGCAGTAAAGGTCCTTAAGTGCTTTCAACTCCTCAATCAGTGTCTTGTTTTGGTTTTCAAGCACAGCCACTCGATTTTCTAGACATTTCACATACTCCTTTTTCTTCCGGCGACATTCACGTGCTGCCTCTCTGCAAAGCAAAAAAGGCCATTCAAATCCAGAACAATTACTTGCAGAAATGGTCTACTTAACTGTTCAGGTCAAACCTTTACCTAGTACTGCCATTTTTAGAATATGGAGGTATTGTTAAGAAATGCAAGTTAGGAAAAAAAGGCTGAGTTCATAACAATTGCTTCTCACAAATCACACACTCTCAAGGTCCACAGATAATTTCAACATGCAGATCCCAGTGAGTCAGCACCAATAAAATTCCGCTTCTGTGAGAAAAGGATCCCACTCAATGACAAAATTCTGCTTGCAGGATTTACAGTAGAGCCTTTGGACCGAGTTGAATGCTGCAGCAATAATTTAATTGATTTTATTATAATAAATAGATAAATAAAAACATGGATAAGACCAATGTTCATCTATTAATCTCTTTATAGTCTTAACTCTTCCCTTTGCTGCAGTCCAACCAAAAACTAATGGTTAGGATGTTCAGCCGGTGCAAAAAAAGCTACATTTAGAGCATTCATGTATTTGCTCTCGAGCAATACTTCAATTTTATTAATAATGTCTGCATCACTGCAATGATAATATAAACGACTCAAAGGAAAAAAATCACGAAATAAACAGTCACTAGCAACCATATCATTCTTTAGTCCTTGTCTGCTGTGCCAAGAACATGGCAATGTTAATGTGCTGAGGCAGATCTCGAGACAGTCAAACTTTAAAGACTTGCTTGTAAAGACTGAGTTGCCTATTGGTAACTTGGTAACATACTAAGAACACCAATGAATAATACCTGAAAGATGTTAATGTGCTGCTGAGCATCCTGAAGGCAGTAACACCAAGGCAAAAGCTATCCTGCACAGCAACAGTAACAGCACCAACGTGCAAAGTAAGCACAAGGCTAAATGCCACAGGTGAATGGGAGACCAGGCAGAGGGCTCTCTTCCAGCAATGCAGCTTGTCAAAGCAGCACACTGCAGACGTGTAAACTTACATGCTTGTTTGCCCTGAACCTTCAGGTGCAAAGCAGAGCAGCTTCAAAATGAGAGTCTGAGTGTCCCTTCATTGCAAATACTGCATAGATTGGTAATACAGTCAATGTTCTGGGAAATGAGAGGACAAAATTGAACCCAGTTCTTCCGCTTATTAGATAAATAGTAGTTGTAGTACTAGGTAAAAAAGAATGTCTGTTCCCGGACCTACCTGGAAGAAGACTCTAGAAGTAATTTTTGAAATTGAGCTCCACAAATGAGACAGGATGAAGAAAACCTAGTTTGTAAGCCCTGAAAGGACTCAGGTATCCATTTGTCACTCCTACAAATCCAATTTCACATGCTTGCAGCACTTCAGTGGGCCATGTGCAACATTTAGAATTTAAGTCATTTTGGGCTGTTACTTGTGTCACCAAAAGATTAGGTACTACTGGATCAGGAAGTGCCTCCTAGTGCAAACTACTAACCTGTCTTCTTGGGTGACAACTTTTTCTTTCTTTTTGTGATTTTTGTGCCAGCTTGGGCTGTGTATTAAGCCACCTCAAGTCTGTGTGCATTAGTTATTCATTATGAAGCTAGAGTTATACTGAATTACAAGAGAGCTTTTAAAATGTAAAATTTACACAGAAAATTTGCACAATAATATCTATGAATATTTACGCTGTAATCCTCCAATAAGTACCGCCTCACCATCTGCCTTTATGTCCCTTTCCCCTGCTTTGCTATGGAGCCTACATTTGCAAACACCTATTAAGCAGGCAGGCTAAAAGCACCACATGCAACATGATACTGTTGCAAAAGCTGTCAATTGAACTCAAGTGGGGGTAATTCCCCATTGCTTTTCTTGGCTTTCCCAAACACAAAAGCTTTCTTTTACTGGAATAAGCCTGCTGACTAAATGAGGGGATTCAGAATGCTAATTATATTTTTTTCTCAAATGCAGAGCCTGAAAGGGTGACATCTACTATTCACTGATATCAGAAAAATATATAAAAAGGGGAGATGGGTGACATTCTGTACAAAAACCTTTTAAAAAAGTGAACTCTGCTGTTCAGCATTATTTACTTCATTAAAGCCCCTCAGACAAGCATTGGGTCTGCTCATGTAACTTTCTATTGTGTTCACAGCTTAGCAATCCACAGAAGATAAATGCACCTGTACAACGTAAGTTTTTTCAGACTGACAGATTAAGTAAACACTGCTTTCACAAGGCTTCCCCTCCTCGCAGGGGAAGGAAGCACTGCTGTTTTCCCAGTGTCAGAGTGTAACATACAGGCTCAAATCTGTGGATGGAGTTTAAGCTTGGTGTGATGGGTCAGCCCAGGCCCACGCCTTCCCTCTCCCACAACAGTAGGCTTAAGGAGCATCATGCCCAACTTCTCTCTGCTGTTCCCTTCCTTTGCTGCCTCCATCAAGCCCCACCTCAGTAGGCTTGGCTGTTCCTCCTCACGCACTAAATCCTGCCCGGTCAAGTCTCCTCTCTCTCTCTTGCAGCCCCTCTGCTGCAACTACTGGCGCCACAAGACATCAAAAGGAGCAGCTGCTCATTTAGCCTTTCCTTGAGTCCTTCTGCCTTTGGAGGATAAAACCCAAAAGGCAAGCAGCTAAAGAGAAGAAGTGAGACAATGGAGAAAGCACTCGTGAAGAGTGTGGGTGGGCCCGCAGCAAAGAGAATGCATGCGGAAGGCTAAGGTGAAGAATCCAGGAAAGGAAACTACATGAATGTATTAACTCAAAAAAATCAACTCACCTCGGTGTTTGTAAGAACATATCTGCAGTCATAAAAGTCTCTCACCAATGACTTTTCTCCTTATGGCAACAAACAAATTCACGCACCTCACAGAATGAGTCTGACACCTTTACTTAAGGTTTCACAGTCACAATACATGGCATTAGCAGATGTGCTTCTTTGCTTTGCATCTTTAAATAAAGGCAAGTTCTTCAGAAAGCATTTCATAAAATGATTAAGAAAGATCAGGATTCTTAGTGCTTAACACTCTAGCTATATGCAGATCTGACTGGGAAAAAAAGCCATCTAAATGTACATGCCTGTTCTTCATTAAACGCACTTCTCTCTTCCGCGCGGCCTCTTCTGCTGGCTGGGTTGGCAGTGCTGGAGAGGATGCCATGACTACGCCTGGTGCAATGGTGCTGGTAGGGGCGGTGCGAATCTGGTAGGTCTGCACATCTCCTGAGGCAGCTGAAAGGCAGAAGGGAACACCATGTCAGTTTGGTGACAGCACTGTTAAACGTGGTGCGAAGAGCACCTAGTCATCTATCTAACCATGCACTCTGGGCTACCGTACAGGAGGGATGACCATAACCTGGGTCATCATCGCTATCTCAGTCTTAGTTTACTAATGTATGCAAGGTTTTGAGCACTCCTGCTGAGGAAGTCTTCACTTGTGCTTGATAACTTGATTTGTCTTGCTGTATTGCTGTGCATCTTTCTCCCTTAGTACATTTCTTTTTACTTCTCTGTTTTTTAGGCAATTTTAGCAGTTTTAAGATGAAGGATGGCAAACAGTACTTCTAGCTATGCTCCAAATGTCTATCTGCAAAAGGAGAAACTCCATGTGTAAGTATTTGGCACAGAAAAAAGGGTGTAGAGATGTAGCATTTACTCCAACAAGAGAGAGACAGTGCAAGCTAGGCACTCCACTACTCTAGAATGAACAAGGTCTTAGGTTTCTTTTGTTTATTTATTGTAATCTAGGAGTGTGTTATATTTGCCTGAGCTCATAAAAAAATACGCTATCACCTAAAGAAATCACATGTCCTTAAGAACACAAAAACCAGAAGATCAATGCAACAATAGTATTTTTCTTGGCTATGTATTTTCACTGATGCCTGGAGACCTCTTCACGGGATAACTTTCAAATCACTTGCTTTACAATCATAAAACCAGGGGTACATTTTTCTGTTACTTTTAATAAACAGATTTTTAATACCCCCCAATTTTTAATAAACCAAAACATCTATTTTAACACAATAAAAACCCCCAACTAATTCTAAGTTGAAGTAGCTCTGCTTGGTCTAAGTGGAGGACTAGACCAAGTATCTCTTAAGGCACTTTCCTAAATTATTCTATGATTCCAAGACTCAATGATTAAGTACTTGGTGACTAGTTACAAAAGCCACAATAGGAAGAAATTATTGTAATTGAAAATGGGAAAAAATTACTAAGAAATTAAAGTGTCCTTACAGAAAGAAAGTATCAAACAACCTTCTTTCCTAACTTTAATGCTTTGCTTTAAATTCACTATTGTTGCAGGTAACTATCTGGGAGAACTGAGAACTCTAAAGTGGTATGAGTTTTTGCAGAACATGTTAAAAAAAATCCTGTGGACAAAATGCAGGAAATACAGCATGGAAAACCAAAAATAAATATATTGTTTTAAGAAGTAAACCCAAATATCCACAATTTTATCAATCTGAAGGGAAAGGCTCCAAGAAAATGTGACAAATAGCTTTGTCCAGAATTTCCTTTAATCATTGTGGAGACTTATCTTATGTGCCAAAGCTGTTAATTCTGTTTCCTGACACATTTAAAGGAGTTAGGTTGGCAACTTATATCTGCATGGAGAAAATGTTATACAGAATGACTGGCTGTGAAGTTTCTCACCTTGTACAACAACTTGGTTGCTGGGTACAAGTATCTGTTGTCCATCTGTGGTCTGTGCATATTGTAAAATGGTGGTGCCAGGTTGGGTTGCAGCTGCATTGGTCATAGTCAACGTCTGGAGACCTTGTACTCCATCTGTGCCATTGTTAGACAACTGTATTGCTCCTCCTTGGGTAATAGCAACTGAAGAAAAAAAAAAATTTACACAGCATTTAAGACACTAATTTACTCATTAACTTGCATTACTAGTATTAAATCCAGATATGGAAGAACACTGGTCTGAGTTAAATGCCTTGAACCCTTATACACCCTCAAATCAGACAGATGGCTTTAATGTACATTAAAGAAATCATGCTTTGAAAGTAAGTTTTCAATTTTTCATGAGACCCATTGTGCTGGTTTTGGCTGGGGTAG